AGACGTCGGACAGGGCAAGATATGACAAAATACCCATTTATAAACTATCAAGGGCTCATGCGGGAGCGGGGAGGGAGGGGAAAAATGAAGACCTAATGTCGGGGGTTTAAATGGAGAGAACATGTTTTGAGAAACGATGTACAAACGTGCTTTACACAATTGATGTGTGTATGGATTGGGATAACAGTTGTATGAGCCCCTAATAAAATGATAAAAAAAAATAAAAAGAAAACAATGCACTAACAAAAAAATAAGGACATTTCCAGATAAACAGAAGCTAAGAGAAAAAACAAAACAAAAACAAAAAAAACAAGAAGGGTACCAGGGCTGTTTTGAGAATGATGAGGGCAATGAATGTACAAATGTGCTTTACACAATTGATGTACGTATGGATTGTGATAAGAATTGTATGAGCCCCTAATAGAATTATTTTAAAAATTAAAAAAAAATTTAGTGGATAAATTTTATAGGGCAAATCAATGATTGCTACCAAATATCTGTCCCAACTTTTGGTTTATGAATCTCTCCCTGCAAGGTTAACCCTAATAATAAAAGTAATATTTATAATATTCTTTAAAAAAAGAGCAGCAGGGCAAGGGTACAAACATGCATGAATAGGGGGTCCAACTAAACTTCAAAGACATTGGAACACTATGACATACCTACTCTGTCTGAAGCTTGGTTGCCTGTACGTAGTTGTCATTCTGATGTTGCCAGTGTGGCACAGAAATGTTTTACTTCTGTGAGTTCATTAGAACAAATACCCAGTACAAAGTCTATAAACTGCTATCCATGTGTTATGTGTGTGAGAGACAGAAAGAAATATATCCATTACCTCATTTAAGTTAGAAGAAAATGAAAACCCTTAATTTTAGAGGCTCCATGAAAGACTTATACCTTCAGGTAAAAATGCATAGGAATAATGGTTAAAACAGCTTATACAGAATAGTGATTTAACAAATGCCATATAATATATCTAAATTATATTTATTATGATCTTGACATATGTATTAGCCAAACCACTGCCATCAAATGGAGTTGGACTCATGGTGACCCTATCAATATAGGTTTCCAAGACTAAAACTTTAATAAGCAGACACCCTCATCTTCCTCCTGTGGTGGTTGGTGGATTTGAACTGCATACCTTGTGGTTTGCAGTCTAACCCTTAACCCACAGTACCACCAGGGGTCCTTATATGTATGAACAGTAATCTGCTAACCAGCTGTCTTCTATTTAAAATTAACTTTTGAAGTTAACTTATTTTTATAAAATATTCCTTATAATAAATGTCTTTATCCATTTTAATCTCTAGATAGAATAAACCTAGTGAAGTAGAAACCTGTCTTGCGATTTGAGGGATTAGGGCAGGGGTTATTAAAGCATTTCAAATAATAACGGGCATACTTGTAAGAAATTAGATTAAGGGTCAGAAAGTTATTTTTTAATTTAATACTTTGTTCTATGCTTTGCTAATCTTTTGCCAATTAAACACTAAATGTTAATTACTAAATGCAGCATTTGTGTAGCTCCTCTATGTAGCTGTCTCAAATCTATAAACTTCATTTTCTTAAGACAAGCTAAAAAACAAACTGTTAACTTCTAAGGCATCTCCAAGGACACCATGGGAAACAATTTGAAATTTTTCTTGATACCACAGACATCATTTTTACTTACTTGTGGGAGACCAGCCTCCCCACAACTAAATGAGTCTAAGGGGTGGTTGTATAATTGAGGAGTAAATTAAAGAGACATCAGACAAGATAAAGTATGCAAGAGCTCACCTCTCAGTCATGACTTCAGGAGCCAGGCCCAAGCAGAGAGAGAGTAATGTAATCTCACGAGCTAATATAATCTTGGGCACACAGGCCACTGGTAAGCACATATATAACAGGAAGGTTGTACAATAGGTGTACATGCAATAGGAAGGGTTGTACTAGAGGTGTACTGGTGACAGGAAGACCCATATATAACAAGGTGGGCAGAGTTTAGAGTCAAGGTGGCAGCCTGACCTTGGTCTTCTGAGTTGGCTTGACCTTAGGTGTCTGCGCTCTCCCTTCAGGGAAACATTCCATTATCCTTATCAGAAGGGAGTGGGCCCTACTTAGGGTGGGACAGACAAAGGGTCTGATTGCTTTAGATGGCTGGCAACCCTTAGGCAGATAATCTTTAAGCAGTTGACCCCCAAGTGTATAGTCAGTGGTCATGTGTTCACAAACAGCACCTTAAATTTGGCATTATTATGGGGGAGCATAACTTTTACTTAGGAGAATGTGAGTGGGACGCATCTCCAATCCATGAATGTGAAGGTTTCCTCCACAGGAGCTTTGACCTCTCAGACTTCTTAACGTATGAATGTTGAGAATTTGCCTGCATACACTCTCTTCCCAGTTCTGTTTCCCACACTTAATTGAGGGTTGGACTATTTTATGGTATATTTATTAAGATTATTCATGCTATAAAATATTCAAATTTTCAACTGTTAAAATTTTAGCTATAATATGAATAGTTATTTTTATGTGAGAACAGTGCCCTCTGTGAACTTCTTGGATGATAAAACAATTTGCCCAGGACTAATAACTTAAAGGTTGATGGTTCAGACCCAGCCAGTGGCTCTGTGGAAGAAAGACCTGGTGAGTTATAACAAAAATCCTAGAGTCATTCTACTTTGGTAGTACAAGGGTCACCGCGAGTTTGTGGAATTGACTTCATGGCAGCAGATTTGTTTTTTGGTTTTATTGCCACCTAAGGTTAATTGTTATATTGTGAATGTTAGTATATTGAATAGTGTGTATCAAGAATAATCAGAACACATTGGTTTCTATAATGATGGCATATTTATCTATTTGTTTTAGATTTCCTTTCCTGGATGAAAACGTTGTCTCCTTTCTAAATTCCTTACCAATTTGGGAAAAGGCAAACCTGACTTTACCCCGTGGAATTGGTGAAAAGCTACTTCTGCGCCTTGCAGCTATGCAACTCGGTCTCACAGCCTCGGCTCTGCTGCCCAAACGGGCCATGCAATTTGGATCCAGAATTGCAAAAATGGAAAAGAATAATGAAAAAGCATCTGATAAATGTGGAAGGCTCCAAGGAGTTTCTTTAGAAAACCTTTCTATTGAAAAGAGATGAAAATGTAATATTCTCACAATGTAACTATTTACAGAATAACATTTATGTAAAAATAAAATCCGGTACTTCTCTGCTTTATTATTATATAATTTGGTGGATTTAAAATGTATTAATTAAACTCTGTAACTATTCTTGGTGCATACAGCCATTTGATTGGTTATTGCTGCTGCTGTCAGAGTCCCTTTGAGGAAACCTGGGACTCTGGAACATGGAATGAGAGCCTCTGATGGCTCTTCAAATCCCTCTGAACCCTCAGATTTCCAGAGTTCCCTAATATGATCTACCACTTCCCTTGGACTGGAAGATTAACTGCCAAGGTCTCCCTAAAAGACAGCAGGTGCTTCCCTCAGGAGTTGCTTCTACCTTCTTTACTGACAGCAAGACTAATAACTAGGCTTAAGTCTGAGCATGACTAGATTTGAAGAGTGATATGTCTGATAAAATAGATTTGCACCAAAGGAGCTGTAAGAGCAAACATACTAGCAGGGCCCTGCCCAGAATACCTGATTTTGGAATGAGAGTATTTGACAACGGAGGCCAGAATGTAAAACTGGATAAGCAAGTAGACTTGGGAGGACTTTTTTAGAAGATGGAATTTAATTAACAGCCTGATAAGGATATCAGGGGAAATACTGTCAGGATGGCTCATAGAGCCTTAGAGAAAATGGTGGGCAATGCCAAAAGAAGTGCCCTTGACAAGTAGAAGAATAGATACAGAATTGGAGGGATGTGGCGTGCTACAAAGGATATACGTGAGACCAAAAACCCAACCGAGGATTACATTCTATAGGATTTTTTAAAAATAGGACTGCACTAGAGAGGGAATTAATCCAATGTCACTAGAAAGTTTATCAGTGGCTCACGTCTGAGGAAGCCAACAGCCTCATCTTCTAAAGAGCAGTTGATAAATTTGAACCACTGACCTTGTGAGAAAGGCAGGGAAGCCATATCTGACCTTGTCCCAAGTCCAACTATAACAAGGCAGGGATCAGACTTGCCCCCACCTTCCAATCATTCTTAGGCCAAACTGATCTTCCCACACTACTTTTCTACTGGGTTCCATAATTGATCTTGCAGTCTCGGGTGGAACTTCTATCAAAGCTTTGTTTTATCCCATGCCATGGCTTCTGGTGCTTCTAGTCTGAGCCTTAACCACTTTACACAGATCTTGAACCTGACCCACTGTTGGCTCCTCCACCTTGGTGTTCCTGGGAATTCCTTCTTCCTGCATCTGAGATGATTATACACAAGAACCCCAAACCAAAGTCTGCCATTCCAGTTGATGCCAACTCATAGTGACCCTAAAGGACAGGATAGAATTGCCCCTGTGTTTCTGAGACTGTTCACAGGAGTAGAAAGTCACTGTTTTTCCTGAAGAGTGGCTGGTTGTTTCAAGCTATGGCCCTTGCAGATTGCAGCCCACCTATAACCACTCTGCCAACAGGGCTTTCTTCTTTATTGTGATTTTAACTAAAAGTAACCAGGATAGAAAAGTCCTATTAAGAAATTTCACTAGAGCAATTCTGTGGTTATCCTACGTTTAAGCAGTTGACCTCCAAGTGTATAGTCGGTGACGATGTATTTGCAAACAGTACCTTAGATTTGGCATTAATATGAGGAGGGAAACCTGGAAAATAACTTTTCTGTTTCCCACAACCGTGGGGAAGGAAAATGTTCAGGCATTTCAAAGTCTGTTGACCCAGTCAATATGTCTGAGAATGTGTTTGCCTTTCCTGAACATAGAGCCTCAACCAGTGCCACTACCTGACAGCTTATGCCTCCTGAGTCGCAGATATGGAATCCCAGACAGTACAGCATCTCAGTTGATGTCACCAAGGGAACCACTTCACAGCAAAGGAAGTGCAGGACCTGTGATGAAGTGCCAAGTTGACCTCCAAGACAACCCTTGCCAAAGATTTGATTCAAGTTAAGCCATCAGGGTCCATGAATGACAGCAATGACATTGACATATATGTATTTTCTATATAGGTGTAAACATACAAATCTCAAACAATGGCATTTTGACATCATCTTGCCCTAAAACCACAAACATTTGTTGATTACTCCCATTGTAGATAAAACATAATACAAGAGAACCTCTATGTGGCTAATTTCAGTGGAAGAGTTTCAGTTCTTATTTCCCTGACCTAGGAATAGCATCCAATGGTGCTGGGTCTCCTTTGTTTTATTTACTGTTTTAATGTTTAGTAGTCATGAACATTCATTAATCACCAAGTATACTGTAACTGTCGCTATATAGAAACAATTCTTATATAGTATCTCTGTCACTAAGCTTACACTCTAAAATGAAATTAATGAATATTTTAGCAAGTGTTTGAAGATAAGGTTATTTCTGGTACATTGTTAAAAGGCTTGGTTTATGATACAAAGAATCTTTTAATTGTACCAAGAATTTTCCAGTTAGGTAGGCTTGCTAAGAGTTTTTAAAAATGATTTCAAATTGTCTTAAAGGACTTCAAATAAAAAAATGCTTACTGACATGAGTTTTCCAGCAACCAGAGCAAGCCCTATTCTGCCGCCCCCCAAAAAAGTATTCTGAATTAGACTGTCTTCTATTCCATTAATAACTTTACAACTTCCTCATTCCTACCCATGTGTACAGACTCTAATGATGTTCCTAGCCTAGAAGAAAGTATTGTATCTAAAATAACTACCCTAAAGTCTTAGAGACTCAACAAGTCAAACCCTTACAAAATATTAACTCGCGTTTTAACAGAGGACTGAGTAGAGACAATGGTGGTACCTTTGGCTACAGATGTCTAGCTATGTGAGATAAGCAAAGCAATTGAGTTCGATCCATGGATTATCAAGGTGATTAAAACACAAGTGTAGGCACAGGCTGGCTTTCCTGCTTTGTATTACTGGTGTAGGGGTGAATTTAGCATCAAGAACCTATTCTATCCTATTTTACCTATATCCACAGAATAATAATAAATACTAACTTTCACATTGCTGTTCACAAATGAGCTGACAAAGGCACACTGAAAGAACTTTTTTATTAACCATTTTATTGGGAGCTGACACAAGTCATCACAATCCATGCATACATCCATTTTGTCAAGCACATTTGTATATTTGTTGCCATCATCATTCACAAAACATTTGCATTCTATTTGAACCCCTGCTATCAGCTCATTTTCCCCCTGCCTCCCATCTCCCCCCTCCCTCATGAACCCTTGATAATTTATAAATTATTATTACTTTGTCATATCTTACACTGTCCAATGCCTCCCTTCACCCACTTTTCTGTTGTCCATCCCCCAGGGAGGAGGTTATATGTAGATCGTTGTAATCGGTTCCCCCTTTCCACCCCACCCTTCCTCTACCCTCCCAGTATCGCCACTGTCAGCACTGGTCCTGAAGGGATCATCTGTCCTGGATTCCCTGTGTTTCCAGTTCCTATCTGTACCAGTGTACATCCTCTGGTCTAGCCAGATTTGTTAGGTAGAATTGAGATCATGGTAGTGGGTGGGGAGGAAGCATTTAGGAACTAGAGGAAAGTTGTATGTTTCATTGTTGCTACACTGCACCCTGACGGGCTCGCCTCCTCCCTCCCCACCCCCAACCTTCTGTAAGGAGATGTCCAGTTGCCTACAGATGGGTCTTGGGTCCCCAATCTACACTCCCCCTCATTCATATAATGATTTGATTTTTTTGTTCTTTGATGCCTGATACCTGATCCCTTTGACACCTTGTGGTCACACAGGCTGGTGTGCTTCTTCCATGTGGGCTTTGTTGCTTCTGAGCTAAATGACTGCTTGTTTACCTTCAAGCCTTTAAGACCCCAGATGCTACATCTTTTGATAGCCAGGCACCATCAGCTTTCTTCACCACATTTGCTTATGCACCCATTTGTCACACTGAAAGAATTTAATTCTTACTGTAAAATACAAAGTTATCTTTAAACTACTGAGGACACACAGTCTTAAAATGCATATTACTTTCAATCATTTATTTAATTTCTAAAAGAATACTGAAAAATAATGTTTGGAAATGCATGCACAGTTTCTTTTAAATGCACACATACAAATATTTTAGTGGCAGACTGGTAGCATACTGAAATTTCTTGGGAAAAGCAACAATTTTCCTTTCAGATACCATCCTGGTTATTTTGTTTTAAACTGATAACATAGTAGCAGCAGCATATTTTAAATGTTCATAAAGCCTGCTTTGCATAATAAGCTTATGCACAAGAGTGAGTGATCTTGAAAGTTCAGGATCAACTTTTTTTAAAGTTAACTACTTTTGACCTAAAATAAACATTTTCAATATTCTTATCCCAATTTAAAAGTCAATTACAGCTCTTACAGAGGGCTTCAAAATTTTAAGGAAATCTGGAAATAAAAGATAATGGAATTTTTTCACAAACTTTTGGGAGCAACCTCATATTTATATTAAATAAAAACCAATCAATTATGAGATTTAAAATAGAAAGCTGAATCAATTACACATCAATATCATTCTCCCTCATAAGATGATAGGTATTAATTTCACTGGGTTTTAACTTTAGGGTAGTTTAACTTTATGGTTCTAACTTTAGGGTAGTTATTTTAGATATAATACTTCCTTCTAGGCCAGGGATATCATTAGGGTCTTTACACATGGCAAAGAATGAAGAAGTTGAAAAGTTATTAATGGAATAGAAGACAAACAGTCTAACTCAGAATACTTCTTTTTTGGTAGGTCTTGCTCTGGCTGCTGAAAAACTCATGTCAGTAAGCATAAACAAAGTTAAACAGCTGAAATATAATCAATACTGTGAATATAATTGAATGAGTTCTCTTGGTTCCTGTGGGTTTCTAAGATTATAAGTCTTCATAAGACCAAAAGAGCCTCATCTTTCTCCCTCAGAGAGGCTGGTGGGCTCAAACTGCTGACCTTAGCAGCCCACCGCGTAAGCCATTGCTACCAGGGCTCCTTCTCACTCTAACGTTTTTCACGTTCAGCTTAAAAACGTAACGTTCCAACCCCAGATCTACATTTGCTTTTCTTCGTGTACCCTTCTTACACCGATTAGATACTTAAATATGTATCTCTTTAACGAGACGCTCGTTCCAGTATCCGTGCTTTCTAGCGTTCAGAACAGTGCTTGGCTCACAATAGGTGTTCCACGAGGGATTGTCGAGTGACGACAGAGGTGGGATTCCAGCTTAAGGGGATGCAAACGTCCTGTTCGGTCGTTCTGTTTCAGAAGAGAGAAGCAGCGAGGGGAAGAGAAGACTAGCCCATTACAGAGCCCGGCTGCACTGGGTGCAGGGAGGCCCGGACTCCTGGGCGCACAGACAGGCTGTGGACAGGTTTCCAAGGTCAGGTCCGAGGGCTTCCACCTGCGCCCAAGGCTCCAAGCGGAGCACCACGTACGAACGGGCTCCCCCCAAGTTCTTGGCCCAGGAAAGCGCCTGGAGTATCATTTCTAAGCGGCTTGCTTCCTCTCATTGTCCTTTCCCCTTTCTCGTGTCTGTGGTGGACACGATCTGGTTGTGGGACTAGGACTTTGACTTGATTAGGGTCAAGCCCGGACTCTGATCCTGAAAGATTATGAGCCCCCAGTGAGTCCTGTACCCTATCTAGGCGCCGTTACATTGGGAATAACCAGGCCCATTTCTCCAAGCAGGGCTGACAAAGCGTGGTCCCAAGATGAGCAGCCCAGCAGCTCTGGAACTTTCTGGAAATGATTTTTCTCTGATTCCATCCCAGACACGGATGAAGTAGCAAGAGCAAATAAAAAACTCCAGGGAAGGCTCCAGAACTCTGTTTCAGGAAACCCCAGGTGATCTGATGCTAGCGCTTGGGAATCATTGTATAATTGGAGATGATTAAATGAAAAGTGTGTTGTGCATAAATAATTTATAGATAGTGGTCATGATTATTCTACTTCAGGAACTGAGAAACATCTAGTTGCATGGAAATAGAAAGCTAAGCAAGCACTGATTTTCTTTCGTTCCCTCTCTTCCTCCTTCTACCCTTTCTTCCTTCTTTTTTCTAAAGCAGGTCCTTATTGTCTTGCTTAAACCAACTGAAAACCAGAGAAACATATGTACATGCCCCCCAAAGGGTATACAATAGGTGCTTCTCATATCTAAACTTACATTTCTTCTTGACATGCTTTTTAGTATTTTTTTACTTTTTTTTGAAAAGAAGAAACTGAATAATATTTGAGATTTTAAAATGATTTCAACTACTTTAGTAATTCAAATGTCAGCTTTCTTATGTTGCAGTTAGTTTATGATGGAAGCATTATGAATGATTATTAAGAAAATACCTTACAAGGATGAAAAGTACAGATTTATTTCCTGATAAATCCGTCATGGCAAATGTTATTGGCTGTCTTTTCCTCTTTATTCATTACAGAAGCCTCTTAAAAAGGACAGACTAGAACTTAATTAAAAATGCTAAGATTACCCAAGAAAGGCTTAATGAGATTTGATCAAGTTCAAGATGAAGAAACTTACCTGGAAAACTTAACAATACAAAGAAACGCTTCTGCTTTTTTTGAAAAATATGATCGAAGTGAAGTACAAGAGTTGCTTACCACTGCACTTGTTAGCTGGTTGTCTACTAAGGAGGACGCTCGCTTTCAAGTAGACTTCCCATGTGGAATCATGAGTCATATAAATAATGTAAACTTCTCTACCGCGATTCTGCTGATGCCAGTGGACCCTACTGCGCTCTTAGACTACAGAGTAGTCCATCAGATCATAAGGGAGTTGTCTATTGGAATTTATTGCTTAAATCAAATTCCTTCAATCAGTTTAGAAGCTAATTACGATCAGAGTTCTTCTTGTCAGTTGCCTCCAGCTTATTATGATACCAGAATCGGACAAATTCTGATCTGTGTTGACTACATGCTGAAAGCATTGTGGCATGGAATATACATGCCCAAGGAAAAGCGAGCCAGATTCTCTGAATTGTGGCGTACCATTCTGGACATTGATCCAGATGGAAAACCTCAAACAAATAAGGACATTTTTGCAGAATTTAGTACAGCAGGTAAGATAATTGACCAATTTTTCTGTTTAGTTTTATGAAAGTCAATTTTGGGTATTTAAAACATAATTCATCTAAGGTATATTGAGCCATCACTTCTTACTGAGGGGGTTCTTAAAACTTCAAAATCTCTTTTTGAGACCATTTAATATTTTTTAATGCCACCAAAATTATGTGTTGAGCCGAACACCTTTCCTCTTTCATCTTAATCCCCAATTTCTTCAGAATGGATCAGTTCCAAACCACATGATGAACAGTTTTCTGTTTATACTCTATGTCCAATAGGTCACAGGAGTATAATCAGTAACAGAGTCAAGAAAATAGTATTATCATAGCACAATTAGAAAATTTACAAAGTTTAAAGCAATGACTTGGCTAGATTAGTCACCCTTCTATATTGATTGCCATTTTACAAACTCAAAAAAGAATCATATAATAATTGGTGTTACCAGCAATATTTGTAAAATATCATTAGGTTTGTCTATAGCATTAGGTTTCTGAAATATTTATTCTTTGCTCACCAAATTTTTTAATTCCTTTCTTGTCTGGGCTCTTTTTCTAAGCCTATATATTCAAGGATAATGGATGCCATTAACTCGACTTCTACGCATGTGTAAATTTTTAGTCTAGTTTCTTGGTAGCAGGCCAGGTGGAAAGGAAAATGTGTGCCCCAGACATTCCTGTCCACTGCTTGCAGTGATCTATAAATATGTCTAATCACTTGTATTGCATAGATATCACAAGTTTTTGGACACAGACTTAAAATTGTGTATAGATTAAATCTGATTGGCGAAACATCAGAACATTATTTTCATTTTCTGTATTTTTTGTTTATTCATATTGGAGTTTTATCTGAGATGTGTTATGTCACTGGGGGCGTTAACCTCTTGAATTTGTGTTATACGAGTTTCAATTTTTCAGTATATGAAACCCAGGACTGATGAACCTATGGGGACAGCAAGTAGAATAAGGGTTTCTGGAGAAGTAATGAGGCGGGTGGGGGCGGTGGGGGTAATATGGAGACAATGTCAAGGAGCCCAAGAAGGAAAAGAATGTTTTGAAACTGATTGTGGTGGCAATTGTACAATCCTGCTTGATGTGATTGAACTATGGAATGATATGATATAGGTATGAACTCCCAACTTTTTAAAAATAACATTGTTTAGTAGGTCTATAGTATCTGAAACTTAAAAAGGATGACAACTCACCCTCCAGTAATAAAATGACACAAAGATAGCTGACTTCTTGAGGAGTCTATGAATATATGTTGACTTGTACATTTCATGTAAATTAACTGCATTATTGTCATTAGGTGCCATCAAGGTGGTTATTACCCATAGCAACCTTATTGTCATTAGGTGCCATCAAGGTGGTTATTACCCATAGCAACCTTATGCACAACAGCACGAAACACTGCCGGGCCCTGCACCATCATGGGCCTTCCTCTCCTTTGAAGCCCCTCTACCCCACTGAACATGATGTCCTCCAGGGACATGTCTCTCCTGACAACATGTCCAAAGTTAACTGCGAAGTACTATTACAAATACAATCGTTTCAGTTATTAGTTTTTTTTCTGGGTACTGCCGCCATCCTCTCTTTTAGAGAGGTCTCCCTAGACACCTTCTGCATCTGTTTGGTTGTGCTGCACTATGATGTACTGCTCTCTGAAAGTCATTGTCCTTGTCAAACCAGAACTTCACTGCTAGAGTCACTTGTGACTCGTTCTCACTGCCATTGAGTCATAGAGACCCTATAGGGCTGGGTAAAACTGTCCCTGTGGGTTTCCAAGACCAGCTCTAGCCTCCTCATTCTCCCCCAGAGCCGCTGGTGGTTTCAAACGACTGACCTTGCCTTTAGCAGCCCAGTACATAAGTATTACACCGCCAGCGCTCCTCCCCGCTGCCTCCTCCAGACCCCGTTTCTGAGCTGGGTCTCCACACAGGTCCGGCTGTGAGGCAGGCACAAGGCTTGGTGGTAGTTTACGATGCTTAGGACGAGCCCTCAGGACCCCCTCCTCTAAATGCTGTCTCTGCGAGTTTTGTCTTTGGTTGGCCCACGGCCTCCTGTCTCCTGCCAGGAGCTCACCAATGAGTCTGGGACCCGCGGAGGGGAAAGAGCTGTGGATCCTTTTATTCATTACACACAGACTCACTGAGCCTTTGTTTCCAGCCCAGCGAGGCTTTCCCAACCTCCAGCTATGCTTCCTGTCTCTGGGTCTAGAGCCTTTTTAGACCAATCTCTAGAGAGTAAGCCTGTCTTTTGCTGTCACCGGGAGGGACATTTCTTTGCCTGACTGCGCTATCTGGGGAAAGGGCCTAGGCTTAATCAGACTTCCTTCTGAAATAGCTTCTAATTTCTAAGCCTTTCTGCGGTTCTGTAGTGAAAATAGGCACCCTGGTGGCATAGCAGGCCACACATAGGGCTGCTAACGGAAAGGTCCTCTGAGAAAGGGGGGGTTTTCTACTCCCTTAGAGAGCTACAGTCTGGAACCCCACAGGGGCAGTTCTACCCTGTCCTGGAGGCTCACTGTGAGTCAGAATCGCCGCGATGGCAGTGAGTTCTGAAAATCACTTCTTGGATGTTAACTCCCGCCCCCTCTGAAGCCACAAGGTTTAGAGAGGTATTCATAATGCTCTGGCTTATATATATATTTTTAACTGACAAAGACACTTTTGTTTTTTTAATAATCTTTTTATCATTTATTTTTAAGCGTTTGCAAAAGGGAGGTGATGAACAAAAGTGGCCATCGGGGGTGGGGGTGGGGATCAAGACTCTTCAGGCTTTTTATACATTTGATGAAGAAAAGGATATGGGGAAAATATTGATGTGTCATTTCCCCGTGAAGGCTCTTCATGTTGAAGACTAACTTTACATTTTCTACAAAGTCATATTTTATAACTCACAGCAGCTTTCTGAAGCCGAGAATAAGGGTTTTGTTGTAAATGTAACATTCTTCTCAAGCCAATTTTACACTGAGAAAGTCTTATTTGTTTCAGTTAGCTCTTTGGCTCTTTGCTAATTGTGTGTGTGTAGCCCTCACCTGCATCAAGGCAAACTACATAAATTATGTCAGAACAAGCGGCTGTGCCCAACGAGAAGCCGATGCCCATGTAAAGATGGGGTATCTTGGTAGGCTTGTTCTTCCGTATTTCTTTTGCCAAGACTTACATTAGTGTTCTCAATGTGTTTAGGTCTTTATCTCTCTATTGGATGGACAAGTCACATTAACAGCATAGGTTAACCATTTTGCTCAAGTTTTACTCAATTTGTAAAAGATTGGGACTCTAGACTTTTAAAATCCATAATCTCCAATTTTGTTTTCACTCTGCTTAATTACCTACCCACTCATTCACCTGTTTCTCTTCTTATGCTATTCCATTGGCCCGTTATTATTGATTAATTACCATGTTACTAGGCTCTCAAGGTATATAGCTCAGTTTTTAATCAGCTATATCTGTCCAGAAGTCAAATACGAAATGTTTGTTGTCTGAAAATTTTCTTTCTTTTGCATGAAGGCTTGATTGATATTACAAAGGATCCAGATTTTGAAGGAATATATGATGATGATATGAATGAAGATCCAACATATGAACCCAATAGCTCTGAAGAAACAGCTCTGTTCATGAAATATGCTGAACATATTCTGTTAAAGTTGACATTTAGTACCACGCAGGTTCAACAGTACAAAAACGTCTTTATATTTGAAACAGATTATTGGCTTACTAATGCTATAAAATATAATCAGGATTATCTTGATATTTGTACCTACCAGAGACTGCAGCAAAGATTATATCTTCAAAAAAAAATTATTCAAAAACAATTAGAAAAGAAAGCAGATATCAGAAAAGGGATAGGATACCTAAAGTTAATATGCTTTCTGACTCCATTTCTACTGACTTTAAAAAAGAAGATGAAAGTTCCATATTTAAGTTCTCTGCTTCCACCATTTTCAGGTAAGATTAGCAACCAAACACAAACATAACATACGGGTATACAGACCTGAGAAAATAACCTAGTTTAATCAGGTTATGTTGGAAGGCAAAAACTGTTATGTTGGAAGGCAAGAAAAAATAAAATAAATTAATGTAACTAAATTAATTTAAAAATACATAGTATGAAAAAAAATACATAGTATGTATACATAGTATTCAGGAATCTGCATGTATTTTTCTTAATTATTAGATTGATAATTAATATAATTGATATATGTTCACCAGAAATGGTTTAAACTACTTGCTTAAGGGTTCTAAGTGATGAAGAAAAAGAACATTGCAAATTGAGTAAAACTTGAGCAAAATGGTTAACCTATGCTGTTAATGTGACTTGTCCATCCAATAGAGAGATAAAGACCTGAAACTGAAGAGTGTGGAAAGTTTTCTATATCTCTTTACAGGAGAGATAAGTCAGATCTTGAGCTTCAGCCCTGCCCGACTTAAAGTAAGAGGCTAAAATGGATGGAGATAGTAAAGAGAGAGGCAAAAAGTGGAGAACAGACAGAGATTGTAAGAGGTGGAGAGAACTAAGAAATCAGGGGATTATTTGAGACACAGTCTAAGGTCATTTTTAACCTGAGGTGAAGGGAATACATTCCGGCTGAAAGTGGAACCAGAGAGAAATAAGAAAACTATGGTTCAAAATTTAAAATGAATTTGTGTCCAAGGGGGTTGGCTTAACTTCATTTAGAATAAGTGGGGTGAAATCAAATGAATAATACATTAGTCAACTGTTATGCTTTGCTTTGAAAACATATGCCTAAGTTACAGCAACATAAATATGGAAAATAGGTCTTGTTTTTACATTTTTTTTGGTATGAAGATCGTAGTCTTTTTGTAAAATTGACATAAAAAACAAAAACCAAGCTCACTGCCATGGAGTTGATGCTGACTCATCGCAGCCCTATACTTACTGAAAAGTACTCTAAACAATACAGATTCGTGCAAAAGCAGTCAAAGAAGGAGGAGGAAGAAATACTACTCAGAAATAACCATCAATCCTTGTTGAAACATGTCAGTGGTTCTAAATGCTCATATGGAATCCACACATAGACTAAGAGATAGTTGTTTTGAAAGAACAAGGGGATGCTACATGGTTTAAAATCAGAAAAGGTAGTTTTTTCAGGGTGGTTTCCTTTCATCCTGCTTATTCAATCTGGATGCTGAGAAAATCTTCCAAGAAGCTGGAATACCACTACATCTGAGCAAGAAGCCAAGGTGCTCTCAGGATTACAGATGCTGTGGGGATCCTGGTGCTGCTGCCATTCAGCAATATCTGCTAGAGCAGTGGTTCTCCACCTTCCTCATGCGGCGACCCTTTCATACGGTTCCTCATGTTGTGGTGACCCCCCAACCATAAAATCATCTTCGTTGCTACTTCAGAAGTGTAATTTTGCTACTGTTATAAATTGGGCGACCCCTGTGAAAGGGGCATTCGACCCCCCAAAGGGGTTGTGACCCACAGGTTGAGAACGGCTGTGCTGGAGCAAGGTGATAGCTGCTGGAGCAAACAAGGTGAAGATGGCTCTTCTTTCCCTTCCCCTTTCAGTCTCTGGCAGTACCTCCTATTGGAGAGCAGAATTGGAAGCCATCAGTAAAGAGTATGCGATTGTAAGGTATCGAAGGACAAATATAGGGCTGAAGACCCATAGACAAATAACTGATAGACCTGAGTGAATTTGGTGACAAGAACGGAAAGTTAGTGACTTTCATCACTGTTGTATTGTGGTGGGTGAAGACAAGCAAGGTGAAAGCATGAGAGAAATAGTACATCTCTGAAGACGGTCAATGTGTAAATCCAAGGAAGCGGTAGTGGATTCAGTTCCAGAAGTAGAAGCTACGAGCCACCGGATTCATGAAGTAATAGGAGAAACCCAGAGCAAAAGCGATAACTCAGAATGCATGTCTGTGTTCCCTTTAACACCAATCATTTGACTGCAGGTTTGAAAAAAAATTTTTTTCTTTTGAGATTTTTGCATTGAAATTGTGTGGATCCTATTCTGTCTCTTCCTCTAACATCAGGGTGCTCAAGTTGCTCTGTAAAGGATTCCTCTCTAAGGGATGTTAAAGCACCTGTTCTTGTTAGGCCCTAACAAGTTAGGGGCGATTGAATTGGTTCTGACTCATAGCAGTTCTCCCTCCTATGAGAGAACTTTGGTCTTGCTCTATCTTAGCAACTGTTGTTTATTTGTGCCCATTGTTGTAGCTACTGGGTCAGTCTGTCTTGTTGAGGGTGTTTATCTTTTGCTGACACTCAACTTTCTTCAGGGATTGGTCTCTCCTGATAATAGGTCCAAAGGGTGTAAAGCAAAGTCTCTCCATACTAGCTTCTAAGGAACATTATGGCTGTACTTCTTCCAACATAGATGTTAGTTCTTCTGACAGGTCATGGCACTTAATATTATTTGCCAACACCAGAATTCAAAGATATCAATTATGCTCCCTTCTTTATTCAATGTCCAGCTTCTCTATGTGTATGAGGCAGTTGAAAATGTCATGGCTTGGATCAGATATACTTTAGTTTCAAAATAACATCTTTGGTTTTTAGTGCTTTAAAAGTGCCTCGTAGGGTGTGATCAAAGGTAATGTAACCGAGAGGAATTACTGAAATCTAAATGAGGGCTGAGCATGATAGTGGGACAAGAGGGAAGTAAAATGAAATAGGGGAAAGAACTAGGAGGCAAAGGGCA